TGAATACAGACTGAAGCATTTTCTCTCCTTCTCCACCCCCCCCACAACCCCAAGTTGTCTTGTACAAAATGACTAATATGGAAATGTTTTACATGATTGCATATGTTTAATCTATATCAGATTGCTTACCATCTTAGGGATGGAGGAGGGGACAAGGGAGGGAGGGATAGAATTTAGAACTCAAAACTTTAAAAAAAGTTTAAAAATGATTTTAACATGTAAATGAGGAAAAATATATTAAAAAAAAAAGAAATACCCCTGAGGTCTGAAAAAACTGATACCTGGTTTTGCTGTTTCAGAGAAAGGTAAGAGATGGTTGTACAAAGCTAATTATTTATGCTGAGTCAGTCTGAGTGACTCCATTAAAAAAACTGAAAACAAGCAAACAACCAAAAAACCTTATTTAGACTTTGAGTACATGGTACCTGGAAGGCATGAGATGGTAGCATGTGCACTAATATCATCTCTTTATGATGCTGTAATAGGGAAGGATCTGGGGCAGCAGCAGCCCCATCTCCTCACTAAAACATGTACCAATCAGAATCATCTTTCCCTTATATGGAAGTTGTTGACTCTTGTCAATGAAAGCAGATAGTAGTTTTAATTTGAGGCCTGGTGGTACACAATGCTTCAGCCTTGGTGAGCTACAATAAACTACTTTTCTCTTATTTCTTGAGTTTGCTTTATTAATCAGGGTGAGGCCCAAACTTTTAACACAGTAGTAGAATTGATTAATTTCTTTGGGATTGTAAGCCAAGATTTGTTACAGAACATAACTGCTGTTTGCTCAAGTTTCATAGTGATTGATGTGAATCCTTATACATGGGTTCAACAAAATCTATATCATAAGCACAGGATGGGTGAGATGTACCTAGATCATTCACATGGAAAAAAAAAATCTGGGGATTTTAGTGGACCACAAACTCTGTTCAGCATGAGTCAACGGTGTGATGTGGTAGCTAAAATAATGATTACCAAAATAATGGCAAGGCCCCAAACCAGATCTTATTGAATCAACATCCCAAAAGGAAGGAGGTGATAGCCCTACTGGGCTCTCCTCTGATCCAACTAGATCTGGAGTAACGTGCTTACGGTTTTCAGGCTATAGGCACACCTCTGTCAGTGACCCAGAAAGTCTGAGGTAGCATTCAAATCTAAGCCTCTTGACTCAAAGCCATGTACCCTATCCATCATACCATGCAGGCTTATTATAAGAGAGGTAAGAAGACAGTCTCTGCGCTCAAGTAGCTAACAAGCTAATTTGGAATAAAAATTAATTTACCAAAAAAAAAACCCCTTAGAAAGCATACAAATAGCAAAAAATTATACAACATGCTAAATTAGACAGTACTCATTTATCATATGGATATGTGAAACCTTAGATACAGTGGGCTGCTGTTCTTTTAAGAACCTAAAAATTGAGGCTGCTAACCTGTCCAGGCTTGCCAGCATACTGTCTGCCTTCACTGAGTTGCATCAGTATGCAATTGACCTCCTCTGTTGCTACTGGCTACTCATTTGCATTTATCTATTCTGTCCCTGTCTCTGACCTTGGCCTGTTCTCTGGCTCTCCGACCTGTTCCCTCTCACCTGGCTTTGCTGAATATCTGCTCTGCTGGCTTACCTATTATATCTCTTGATTCTGGCTTATGCTCAAGCTACGCTCTCATCTGACTTAGTGTTATAGCCCCTTTGCTTCCCTCTTTGACTGGACTCTTAGATATGTGACTCTTGTTTACAGATGGTAGACTTCTTCAGAGGTTATCTCTGGAAGTTATCTCCAGAAGTTACCTGTATTCATGGAGGATGTGACATATGAGCTAGAATTTGAAGCAAACATAGGATTTGAATAGGTGAAAAGAACGAGGAAGGGCATTATAGATGCCATTATAGAGGCAACTACATGAACTGTGACTCAGAGAAAGGAATGAGTATGGCACATGGCGGAGAAAAAGAAATCGTCTCTGGCTGGGACAGAAAAGTCTCTGGCTGGGATAGAGATTACAGTGGGAGAGATTTCATTCCCCACAGCTTGAATTTATGAGGAATATGGCCTTGGTACATCTACACTAAATAGGGTCTGCAAACTTGGGCTCCACTTTCAGGTTTACTTAGTGTGCCTCAGTCTCTCCCCTCTTTAAACAATCTTCCTCAGAAACTGCCGATAATCTTTCCAGGGTGCTTCCCCCTGTTTCTTTGCTGAGGTGAGAAACTATGGGTGTGGAATACTGTATCTAATGGTAGACTTCTTCAATATTCTGTTTGTTTTGCTGAACTGCCCCCCACTGCCCACACTTTTAATGTTTTATTATAAAGGATAGTTTTCAGTATGTGTATGTGGGAAGGTTAGAGAGTAAAGAGAGGATTACAGTGTAAACATAGCTGAAATAAAAATAAAAACATCAATAAAATTTATATAATCTTCTTCTGACCATGTCATTTTCTAATCCCAAAATTTTCAGTGGCTCCCTACTGACTTTCAGGTGAAGTACAAACTACTTAGCTTGATGTTTAAAGCCCTTCACAGTTTCTTCAGCATTTTTAAAAGCATGCTTTCATATTATTCCTCTTGGAATCTCTATCTTCTAACCAAACCGTCCTAGTAGGTATTTTCTAAACTTTTTATTCTGTTTCTCCATGTCTTTTACAAGAAGTCCTCCTTGTCTGGATCTCATAGGTTCATGAAATTCAGAAACAGAAGGGACCTCAGAGATTACCTAGTTCATTCCCTTTATGTTGCAGATGTAAGTGGGAATTTAATTATTAATTTGTTTATTGAATTGTTAATTGATTGATTGTAACATAAATAAGGGAAAATCTCTCCTGAAAGGAGACATGGGTTCATCTGCTCACCCTTGCATTCAAGTACTGAATTCGTTATGACATGCTCATTCATGGTTGGTATGTCTGTGGACAGAATTTAGTCCAGTCCTGGTGCTTCCACACAGATCATTCAAGAAGCCAGGTCTTTGCAAAATGAATCATGGATTATGATAAATTGATGAGAGTGGTGGAAGAGATTTTTCCTCAGAGTAGACCTGGGGTTGTGTTGTTATCATTATTATTAAAATTATTATTAGTAGCACTATTTTTATTTTGGTTCAGACCTGTGATTTTATCCATTTAGGAAACTTCCGATGTGGAAATTCCCTCTGCAAATACAAATAGACAACTAGTCTGTAGTTAATGGTTGAGATGGCCTAGGACACTGAAAGGTTGTGACTCACCCATGGTCATACAGCTATTATGTATCAGAGAGAGGATTTGAACCCAAGTTTTCTTTACTCTAGTGATAGCTTGCTATCCATACTTAAACAAACAGAAACTGTCTCCTCTGATCTACTACCAGCTTTCCAACAGTCAGTGAGGGCAAAAGAAAATAAAGTGGAAGTTAAAGGGGTTACTGACTGGCAGTGGTTCACTTTCTTTCTCCCTGGGTAGACAAAAAAGGGAAAGGAATGAGCTGCTAGCCAGGTCAAGGGCCCTCACTTCCCTTGGCTGCAGGTCACTCTCTCATACTCCTGCTCGTGCTTAGTCAGCAATGAAGGCTCAGCCCAGTCCATAGTTCACAATATGAACATGCACTGATTCTGATAATGTGACTGTGTTACATCCAAATGAGTCTCTGTCAGCTCTGATACTTCTCCTCCAGTCACCAGTGATTGGCTTCTCTTCAGACTTCCATGATGATTTCATCATAGTTATGCTTCCATGACTCTTTCCCTCTTAAGGTCAAGGTGAAAAGGCAAGACCACAGGAACTTGGGGAATGCTGAGTAAACTCCTTGGCTAGTAGGTAGGTCCCCTTCCTTGAGGTTTCGGTGCCCAGAGCTGAAAAGTTCAGCTACATTCATAAGCATTCACCAATTCCATGAGGATTTTACTGCTGTTGCTGTTGTTTTATTTCTGGGGATTATGCAGGTTTGCTTGAGGGATGCAGTAGTAGATGGAATCCAGGACAGAGACTTGGGGGACTTCCACTGTTAGTGGGCATAACATGGATGAAGATCCAGCAATTGAGATAGAGAAGAAGTGGTCAGATAGGTAGGAGAACCAGGAGAGAGCAGTATCATGAAAACCTACAGAGAAGAAAACTTACAATCATCAAGGAGATTGGATGAAGCACACCTAGCAAAATTCAAGTATACTAGTGTGAAATTTGGGTCCTTTGATGACCATAGAGCTTGAGCTATGATGATTTCACCACTAGCATGTACTAGTAGCATTCTTCCTGGAACCAGCTTTTTTGATTAAATTTGACCTTTTCTCTAAGAGTTGACTTGATATAGTAATTGGAAAACTAGCTTCGGAATCAAGTTCTGTCTCTGATACATACTGTGCAAGTTTTTTAGCCTCTGGTAAGGTATGTGTAGTAGTGGGGTTTTCTTTTGTAACATGGTTACTCTGGCCTTACTCTCTCAGGGTCTGCTCTATCAGCTTGAACCCCCACTACATGTATTTATGCATGCATTTGCTACATGGGAAGCTAACGACTAGCTCTCAGTTCCATTTAACCACTTAACATCAATTAGCTTTTACAAAGTAATATTTACTTCAAAGTTTTAGCAAGAACAAACACATAAATACTTCTAGTAACTCCAACATACCTCTCACTGACCTCTGAGGGTGGGTCTACATAGTATAGTTGTTGATTATAAAGAATTCAATCAAATGGACAATTATTATTTCTTAAATTGTCAAGGTGGGTCTATTTTTGGAATATAGAAGTGTGTACTGTCATCTATACCACTGATCTCTGAGAGAGTATGCTCAGAAGATCTTATTTTCTACATACCATTGATCTTATCAAGTCCATGTCCAAAAGCAGATGTTGAAGGATGAATCCTCATATCCTCCACTGTTGGACTGGGATTCTGAAAGTCACTTCTAGTGGTTGCTTTCTTGCTCCTTGGAGTCTCATTCCTGGGCTGGCTTTGGAACCTAGACCTTAGAATTCTAGAACATTGGAGTGCCTTCCTAATACCTTTTCAACATCTCTAGGTCTCAAGTTTCCACCTCCTTCACCTAGAAGAGAAAAGAACAAAGGAAAAACCCCAGGACAGAGGTATCTTTCTTGGGGCCATGTGGCCTCAGAAGGGAAGAAGCCCAAAGGCCTCTCCCCTTAAAGCTTGGTCTCTCACCAAATGCCTTGAATGAAGGGAGTCACCAAATAAAGCCGTAAGAGTGAATAAAGCCAGAAAGAGGTAGGTGATGATGACAGGTCTTCTTGAATGCTCCCCAAACTCCTCAAAGAACAGCCTTCTCAACACCTAGCCAGGTGGAACCAGTTATAGAATGTCTATGCAGGCTCCACAGTGTCTCTAAGGAATTTCCAATATACTCTATCATGATTCTTCCAGAAGCAAGCTCCCTAATAATCTTCATACAGAGAGGTTACATCTGCTGAGCAAGCTTGTGGGGTCTGTGCATGTACTCAATACCCATTTCACTTCATTGGGATTTCTTTGCAAAGAAATCACAGGTCCAGAACTTACCTCAATCTCTAATCTTCCCTCTCCCCAAATTTTAAATAACACATCTGCATAGCTGAGAGGGTGGGGTGGATGGAACAGTGGCAAGTAAGTCTCTGAGAATGGCCTCCTGGGAGAAGAATTTGGGAAAAGTTTAGAGACCATAGGATCATAGTTCTAGATCTAAAAGGAAACTTAGAGGCCACCTACTTCAAACTTCTTGTTGTACAAATAAAGAACTGAGGCTCAGAGACCTGGAATGATTTGTTTAAGGTCATACTGATCATAGGTAGCAGAGGCAAGATTCACATTCAGGCCTTTCACTTCTAAGTTCATTGTGCTTCCTATTGCCTCCCAGTCATCAAAAACAGTATGAGCACTTGTCAGGGATCCTATAGGGGTTATTCTATTTCAGCCCTAGTTGAGATGAGATGACCTCTGAGATCCATTCTGTCTTTGAGATTCTTCACTCTCCTGGAGGCATTGAAAGGGTGGACTTAGTTGCCTGCAGAACTTGGAAGGGATTGCTAAGCCCATTATTATTTATTGGGACAAAATCACCCAGAATTCTCTCTGTGCTGATGGAATTTTCTAATTTTAGGAAGGGGTTAGTAGAGTGAGTGCCCACTTCTTCTGCTTTGCAAGAAGGTTAGATTCAACCATAGCCAGGCTACAAGAGCTACAATCCAATAAAGAGCATGAATTAAAGAAGAAATCCTCTTGGGTCACAATCAAATTTCCACTTAATTGTATAGTTGAAATGCATGCTAGATTTCTATCGATTTTCTCAATGGGTTTGGTAGTGTCTATCAAAGCTATTTTAGCTCAATGAAACTCTCATTTAACTTGCTCCCATGTAGCAAGGGCAGTGTAAATGAAAGTCCACATAGACGTTGGCTTCAAGCCTAATTTCATATGGAGCCAGGAGAGCTACACACCAGCAAATCGAGGGTGACCTATCATCAGGGCATGAACAAAGCAGTTATTCGCAGTATCTCTATCTACAATTTCCTTAAAATTCATAAATGGATAATTACATCCTAATTCTTCTGTCAATGACACAATATCAAGGAGCTGGAGCCAGAGGAAAGCTGAAATATACTGCTCTGAATCTTGTGAAATGCTTCAGTTAGCTCCCAGCACTGTGGTTAGTAACCAGAACCCCTGCCTTACTCTGTTTCAGACATTTCAAGACACCTCACTGACCTCTGAGGCTGTATCTATATGACACAGTTGTTATTGATAAAGAATCCGATCAAACAACAATTTATTTATTTATTTTTAAATTGGTAAGGTGGTCCATTATTAGAATATAAAAAGGGCTTCACAGAAGAATTAGATGGGCTAGTGGTACAAAACAATGGATGTTTGGGTGTATTCTAACCTCAAACAAGGGGAAACTTGTGGCTGAACCCTCAGTGATGCAAACATGGGAAAGGAAGGACGACAAAGGAAAGATATGACTGAGTGGTCAGTGACAATTTTAGAACATGGTACAGTAGTGGACAGAGCTCTGAACTTGAGATAAAGAAGACCTAACTTCAAATCCGGATGTATAAGCTTGTGTGACTCTGAGCAAGTCATTTAATCTCTCTGTGCCTCAGTTTCCTCATCTGTATAATGGGGATAAAGAAAGCACCTACCTCACAAAAGTTGAAATGAGATAACATGTACAGTGCTTTGCAAACCTTAAAGCACAGCTATCATTGTTATTATTGATTGTGGTTATAATGTCCCAAAGAGGAAGGGGTTCAAAACACTAAGCCTACATGTAAATCAGGAAGAAAGGCACAGAGCTTTCATGGGGATGGGGTTTCACTTATGTATTTCTTATCCACTTCCTATCTCTTATATCATAGGTAGAGGGTAACCTGGTGGGGTGGGGTAAAAAGAGGAGGGATGATAAAATCCTGTGGGAGGTATGAGTTACAAAGTTGAATTCACTTTGCAGAATGATCAACTTCTTGCAGATTCCCTGTGCGCTCTCTTTAAATGGTGGAGTATCTGGGAGGAGCTCTCTAATACCCAACCTCTATTATCTACAGTCAAGGGGCGGAAGATCCCAATGGTCAGGCGAAGAGGTGTAAGGAGTATGAGGAGGTGTAAAATTATTGTTCTATTGAATATTTTGTTTAATTTCTAGAGTTCTCTAAGTAAACTGTCATATTCAAATACTTGTTGATCTATTTCTTTCAATGATTCAGAATATAACCAATCCATGGCTACCCATCCACGGCTGCCTATCCTCATTGCTTGAATACAAAGCAACCATGAAGAGCTCCAGGGGTGATAAGAGTTTTGGCTGGTAGATCACAATCATTGATCCATCCATACATTGGAAAGAGCTTCACTCAGATGAATCAACTGAAGGTATCCTCAATGTGTGTCCACCTCTCGTGTTCAATAAACTATGGTGGCTCCCTATTGCATCCAGGACTGTTGTGAATATTTTATAATAATTGAGGAAACAAAGTCTGAGCCATGCAATTTATTAGCAAAGCATGCAATTGCAGAACAGATTGGGTCCAGGGCCTCTCAGCAGGCAAGACTTACAAGGTTTTTTTTTGTAGTATTTTAGAGCTACTATTTTTAGATTTAGGGATTTTCCAGAGTTTCAGGGACTTTGGTTGCATACATCTGCATCTTACAAAAAAAAATAGTTGTACAATAATAAGTGACTTCCCTGAAATTATGTGACCTACAGGAAAACAAAACTTAACCCAGAAAAACAAGACTTAATTCCAGCAGCCATACAAAATGTCAGCCATGATACAAAATGGAATTTGGTTCTCTCAGGATCAAATACAAAATCCTTGGTTTGGCTTTTAAAACCCTTAGAAACCTGGTTCTTTGCTATCTTGCCCGGCATCTTACACCTTATTCCCCCTCAGGTACAATCCAGTGACACTGGCCCTCTTGGCTTCCTTCAAGTACCAGATGAAATCATGAGGTATATAAAAAGTCTTTCCTAGCCTTCCCTCCGTTGATTATCTCTAATTTATCATACACACCCACACACCCACACACCCACACCTGCACCCACATATATCTTGTTTGTACATCATTGCTTTCATGTTGAATCCTCTATTAGACTGTGAGCTTCTTGAGAGCAGGGAATGTCTTTTGCCTTAGCTCAGTGCCCAGTGCACAGAAGTGCATGACAAATGTTTGTTGACTGACTGTTTCACTGTATCCTGTTCTCATGCTGCCCTTTCTCATCTTAGTGCTTTTGCTTGTGCCATAAACTATGTCTGGAATGAACTCCCATGTCATTTCTGCCCTGTAAAGTCCTTCTTCCCCTATAAGGTCCACCTTAGGTACCACTTTCTCAATGATGACTTCCTTTATCCCACCAGCTTGAAGTAACATCTCCTTCTTCATTTCTGCCTCCTATCTTTCCTGGCTTCCTTCAAGTTTCAGCTAAACTCCCATCTTCTGCAAGAGGTCTTTCCCAGTCCTTCTTAATCTTAGGTGTCTTCCTCCTGAGGTTATCTCCAACTTATCTTGTATATATTTTGTTTGTACATAGTTATTAATATGTTATCTCCCCAAAAAACTGTGAACTCCTTGAGAACAGGGATTCTTTTTTTTTTTTTTGCTTTTCTTTGTAACACTGTGACTCACCTAGGAGTTCCCTACATCAATGAAATTACTGACTCTGTGCCTATACCTAAAGGGTTAGGAAACTCTTCCTCCTATTGAGCTGAACTTGACCTTTTTGTAATTCTCTAATTCTTTCCACTTGGAAAAAGTGGGATGATTCTAATTCCTCATTTACATGATAGGTCCTCAAAAATTCCAAGACAGCTTCCTTGCTTTCCCTGATCCTTTTTTTTCTCCAGGATTTGTGGAAAGAAGGAAAGGCATGGAACTTGGAAACCTTAGCTGCATGATTTAGTAACTGCTTAAATGAAGTGAGAGCTATCAAGCCTAAAGCCAAGGCTTTGAACTGAAATGACCCTGCCCCTGGTGCTCATGGCCCGCAGTGCTTTGTTAAGATCTGGAATGAGCAAGGCCAAGGGCCAGAGAAGCAGAGGTTCTTCACCAGTTAACTTTGGAATGATAATGAAGAAAGTTGGACTTTGTTAAGCGTATAAAGTGGCACATGTAGAAATGAAAAAGAATGAGTGGAAAAGGGAAAATATTTTCAGTCTCAGGTTTTTCTTTTGAATGTAGTTACAGTGAGATGAAAAGTCAATAGATCATACAACTCAATCCTTCAGCAATTTTTTTCCTAGGCAATCCCAAAGTGCAGCAGCAATATCATTGATGGACAACCTGACAATCCCACACTCAAAAGAGAGGCAAGAATATGTATCATACCTGGAATATAAGTTGCCTTATCATGATGGATCACCTTATTAATGAAGAATTCCTTAGCTGTTTTGTGTGGAGATAGTGATACATAACTTGAAATATTCACATTAGATTTTGACATTAAATGATCAGTCAATTAGCATTTAATAAGTACCTAGCATGTGCCAGGCACTGTGCTAAGCTCTGGGGATTCAAAGTCACTTCTTTCAAAGACCTTACAGTCTAATGGGGAGACAATACGCAAACAGCTATGTTCAGATAAGATACATAAAGGCTAAATTGGGAGGTAATCTCAGAAGGAGGGCACTGGCATTAAGAGAGATAGGGAAAGTCTTTTTATAGAAGGTGTGATTTCAGATGACTTAGAGAAAGTAAGGGAAGCCAAGAGGCAGAGAGGAGGAGGGAGAGCATGCCAGGTATAGGGCTCAGCTGGTGAAGTTGCTCAGAGCTGGCAGATGGGGTTTTTTGTGGGAGAAACATCAAGGAGGCCAGGGTCACTGGTTCACAGGGTACATGGAGGGGAATTAAGGGCTCTGAAAGTAAAGGGAAGATTTTATATTTGATTTTGGATGGGACAGGGAAGAGGGTGATACGGTTAGACCTGCATTTTAGGAAGATCAATTTGACAGCTGAATAGAGGATAGAATGGCATGGGGAGAGACTTGTGGCAGGGAGAACAACCACCAGGCTATTCCAATAGGTCTGTATAAGGTGATGAGAGCCTGCATTAGGAAGGATATAGCAGAGATTTTAGGAAGGTAGAAATGACTGGGCCCCTCATTGGATACGGTGAGTGGGTGATTGTATGAAATTGAGGATGAGACCTAGGTTTCAAGCCAGGGTGACTGCTGGGAGGGTGGTAGTATCCTCAACATAACAGAGAAGTTTGGAAGAAGGGGTATTTGGGGAAAAGATAATGAGTTCAATTTTGGATTTATTGAGATGACTAAAAGGCAATTAGAGATACAAGACTAGAGTTTGGGAGAGAGGTTAGGGTTGGACAAGTAATCCCCTCAGTGAAAATTACTTTCGCATTGTTATTCTCTGTAGAACACATTTGATCAAGATAAGAAGTTTTTTTTTTCTTTTTCTCAGGCTAGTACTATATAGTACTAATAAAATATAGAGAGGGTTAGGGAGTGCATAAAATGCTGGGCTTGGAATCAGTAAGATGTAGGTTCAAATTTCTCCTCTGACTCTAGCCATATGACTTTGGGAAACTCACTTAACCTCTCTGATCCTCAATCAATTCTCTAGGACTTAAGTTTGAAGTGGGGGGGGCATCTCTAGTCTTACGGATCTATATCTTGCCCCTAGATCCAGATAGCTATGGAGGAGAAAGTGAGGCTGGTGACTGCATAGCCCTCCCTCACTTAAATCAATTCACTTGCAATCATGACATGACCTTTCTGAAATCATGGTCGTCTTCAAGAACAAAGAACAAACAGCAACAAACAAGTTGGAAATGAGACAGGCTAGCACAGTGGAAAGCATGCTGGATTTGGAGCTAAGGGATCTGGGTTTAACTCTCAGCTCTACAACTTACTATCTATATGACCTTGGGCAAGTCATGTAACTTACCTGGGTCTCAATTCCCTCATCTATAAAATGAAGGGATTGGGATAGATGACCTTTAAGTCCCTTCTTGCTGTAAATTTAGGGGCCTTTTGAGCATGTAATTATGCTACACACACACACACACACACACACACACACACACACACACACACATCTCCCTTTACAGGGAACCTCCTCTGGTCCCCTCAGCTGCTAACATCTTTCCTTCTAAGGCTGCAATTCATCTATTCTTTGTGTATCTTGTATGTACTTATTTGTTTATATGTTATGTCCTCCATTAGAATGTAATCTCCTTGAGGGTAGGTAAAATTTTTTTTCCCCCTTTCTTTGTAACGCCAGCACTTAGCCCAAGTTCTGGCACAGAGTAAATGCTTAATAAAATGTTTGTTGCTATGTTCCACTCTTCCTCTGCAAATACTTCTCACCCAAGAAAAAATTACAAGTTATTAAGGTTCTTCTGGCCACAATTCTTTATTATAAAAGGAATCAAGTTTGTATCCTATTAAGTCATTACAATGTCAACAAGAGAGACATTCATTTTAGTACAATGATGTTAGTCTAGTGCTGGGACTGGAATTAGGAAGACTTGAGTTCAAATCCAGCCTCAGACACTTGATACTTGTATGACCCTGGGGAAGTCACTTAATCCTAATTGACTCAGTTTCCTCATTTGCAAAATGAGCTGGAGAAGGAAATGACAAACTATTCCAGTGTCTTTGCCAAGAAAACCCCAAAATAGGTCATGAAGAGTCAGACATGACTAAAAAAGTGATTAGATAATAACAAACCTGAAATTAGCCACAGCAGAACCTAATAGATAGAAAGCTGGACTTTGGATCCAAATCTTACCTTTGATACATACCAGCTTGTGATCCCTGGGCAAGCTACTTAAACCCTCAGCACCCTAAGCAAACTCTTTAGGACCACCAGTTGCGGAAGATTTGTTAGTCTACATGGGAAGAAGGAATTCCCAGGTCCGGACAATCCTTCTTTGGCTTCCCCATAGTCTAAACAAGCAAACAAAGAGACAGCAGCCACCACTAGGATTATCAAAGGATAAATCCAATTGTGTCTTTCTTTTTTAAATAGATAAGTCAGGAAAGATGTTCTGACTTCGCTTCAGGACCTAGAATAGGTTGCTTTAGTTCATAGCAACCTGGAGTTTGGTGCATAACATATGTATCATTAATTAACTGAAGACTGACTGTAAAAGAGGCTATATATATTGACAGTGTTTGAAATTTCTGAATATTGCTGGACTGGGCATTTGAGCTGATGCTTGATGCTTGTCTCCACTCTCTAATGGGAATCCTTTATTGAATGCATGAACCTGTTTTTACAGCAGGTCATGAAATTCAGGAAAGAAAAATAAAGTCTTTTTTTTTTTTTGTCTTAAGATGCTTTGTGTGAGTAACTACATGCAGATTCATAGATAGGGTCCAATCCCCTGCAGCCTTCTACTGCTTTGTCTGGGATTCTTTACTTAACTGTGACCTTAGTGGGAAATGAGAAAAGGGCATTTAAATA